TAAGCAAGCTCGTCTGATAGGTATTCTTTGACTGTATCCCATTCTGCTGGTGACTTGTCAGCGATATTAATACACTTGTTCAGCTTAAGACTTTTCACCATACTCCATAAGGTCATAGCTAATATCCACGACTTTAGAATAGTCATCACGCTCGGCTGCACGTTTGATCTTGGATACCATATAATCAATTTCAGAATTAAATTCGTGCTGAACATGCTTACTGTAACTTAAATTATAAGAAAGTCTTGATTTAAGCTGTTTATAAACAAGGTTTCTGATTTATTCGTCGCATCTTCCAGAATTTCCATCTTTAGGCTATCAATTTTACTATTAAATACTGTTTAAAATTGTTCAAGGTTATGTCTGCAATTTTGGTTACCATATCTTCAATGTTATGTCAGTATCATAATATCATAAAGGTGATTTTCTTCACGTTCAGAACTTGCCATATTACGAAAAGTACAAGTTGAAGATAAACTAATAAAATGCTACTGTACACTTTGACTGCAATGGCTCGAATGACTTTATGAACTCAATATCCCAATAGAACCGACCTTACTATAATTAATCAAACACTAGTCAACTATAAACAAACAACATTTTTACATGTTCGATTTTTGTACAACTTTGATAAATACATTTAACTACCTGCATTAAGAACATTATAAAATGTGCACAATGTGCTATGGGATGAGTGAATTAAATGCCTCACACTTAATTCTACCCACCTGTGGCTTACATCTATCCAATCGATTTGAGATGAAGGTTACAAAATTAATAGTTAAGTCCACCTCATATCTTGACTTACATCTAGATATTGGCAATGAGGGTCGGTTGAAAACAACACTTTACGACAATTAAAGTGATGATTTCAGCTTCCCAATTGCGAACTTTCCATTTCTATGTAGCAACATTCCAGCAGCGGAGTATATATCTCCAAGTAGATACGATATTCCAGGACATGTATTTTCCTATCTTGATTTCCTTAATAGAGGGTTGCTGCTCACAAGGATCCGAAGCTACTAAACTAAGATTAACAAGTGATGATGTTGAAATCATCCCTCCGTAAATTTTACTACTGTTGCCTTTATTTACGGACGCCATCACGAGTTGGTTGACCGTTATGGAATATCCCTTCTCTAATTTTGTCACTATTTTCACATTTCCCAACCGATTGTAAAAAAATTGTTCTCCTCACTGTGAAATATCTGTTCTCGGCAAATGATTGGTCGAAATTTAATTATGACGTTAAATTTTCTTGGTTTCGTCCCGATTGTGACGTCATGAAAAAAGGCGACCATGCCTGATGACGTCACATATAAAGAACACAACTTTCTGCAAATCTTTAAAAAGGAAGGATAAAAATCATTAGAGAAACAGATTCCACCACTATAACTCGTGTATTACATTATTTCTCCACTCTCAACAGTTAAATTTTGATATTTAAAGAGCTCGGCAAGCCTCGCGCTTTAAATATTAAAATTTAACTGTCTCGAGTAGAGAAATATCGTAACACACTTGTTGCAATGGTGGAATCTATATTTCACAGATGACAACAGTTTGTACTGAAATCACCCCCAGTTTTTGATGGGGTTTGTGTTGCTGATTCCTTAGTTTTCTATGATGTGTTTTGTGTACTGTTGTTTGTCTGATGGTCTTTTTTTTAGTCAGTCATGGCGCTGTCACTTTATTTTTGACTTATAATTTTGAATGTCCATTTGTTATCTTTCGCCTCCCTTTTACTAATTTCAACTATCATTTTACCATGCGTTTCATTTATTTCATATATATATATATTTAAATGTTAAGACCACGAAAAAAGTGGACTTTACAATGAAAACGATAGAAGAATAAAAAGAGGAAATACTCCATAAAATAAATATGAAGAGATAAGATACCAGGGACAATAAAACCCAATACAAACAGACATCATTGAAAAAAAAAGCGATGAAAAGACACACATCAGTAACCAAACATTACATGGAAGACTTTGATTGGAACAACTATCACACATCCAAAAAAAAAAAAAATACAAAAAAAAAAACAACAAAAACTGGGGTGAAATGTGGTAAGCTGTCCCTACTCTACAAGTGACAACCATTGTATTACGTATACAAGTGAATATCAAATGTCGAAAAAAAGAAATTGTTTATGGCCATAAGGATTAAATACTATGATGAAGATTATGAATATATACTGGCCAGATCTGAATTTTAATGTCCGAACAGTACCAGCCAGATACCAAAAGAAAACATCTGATCAAAACCTTCTTTATGATATAAACAAGGTGAAGGAACAAAACTCATAAAAGGTTTAAATCTCACTGATGCATTTGTGTCAATCCTTTTAATAAATACTTTCTAAGCTGTTAAGTAACGCGAATATTATGATTCTTTATCAACAATAAATTTTAGTTTGAGAAAACATTTATTCTGTATATGTCTCGCCCAGGGACCTGTAATTCAGTGGTTGTCGATTTTTGTTGACTGTATATGATTATCTGTTCTTCGTTCATTGTTTTGTTTATACATCAGACCGTTATTTTCATCGTTAGAACTGTTGTAATGTACTATTATGTTATTTATTTATGTATTTCCTTGTCCTGATGTCACGTAATGTTGTCATTTTAGCTGGATTTTTAGCATTGCCATATAAGCGGGAGGTTTGGCAAGCCATTAAACAAGGTTCAACCCACTATTTTTTCTTCGAATGTCATGTACCAAGTCAGGAATATGACAGTTATTATCAAAAAGTCCGTTTCTATGTATGTTGGCGTTTGTTTTTGTAGCAGTTCAGTGTTTCTGTTCCGTTGTTTTCCTCTTATAGTTGATGTGTTTCCCTCGGTTTTTGTTTGTGACCCGTACTTGTTTCAGTTAAATCGATTTATGACTATTCAACAGCGGTATACTACTGTTGCCTTTATTTACATTTGTCATATTGAGGCCTTTTATAGCTGACTTTACGGAAGAATTTTTCTAATTCTTGAAGGCCGTACGGTAAATTATTGTTGTTGTATTGTTTGTCACTTGGTCACTGGTGGACAGTTGGTCATCATACCACATCTTCTTATTCTTACATTTAAGTAATGTGTCATAGATAACTGAACATTTAATACATCGACAGTTGTGTTCTTTCTGTACTACTGATTTTAAATTGAGTTGTGGTATTTTGACTTACTGAATTCTGAAAATTTATCAGTTGTGTAAATAAATAATTAATATGATTTCACTTAAATTCATTTTGAAAGGTTACTACGGTGGCAGAATGCGGCCATGAAAGAAAAAAAATATGTTGTTCCCTCAAGATACAATGTCGTTCCCTCAAGATGCTTTGTCGTTCCCACAAGAAAGTTATCTCGTTCCCTCAAGATACTATGTCGTTCCCTCAAGATATTATGCCGTTTCCTCAAGATATTATGTCGTTCCCTCAAGATATTATGTCGCTCCAACAAGATAGTTGTCTCGTTCCCACAAGATACTATGTTGTTCCTTCAACATAGCTATAAAATTGAGGGAACGAGATATCTATCTTGTTGTGACGACATATATCATCTTGAATGAACGAGATAACTATCTTGTGGGAACGACATAATATCTTGAGGGAACGAGATAACTATCTTGTGGAAACAACATCGCATCTTGAGGGAACAAGATAACTATCATGTGGAAACGACATAGCATCTTGAGGGAACAATATAACTATCTTGTGGTAACGACATAGTATCTTGAGGGAATGAGATAACTTTCTTGTGGGAACGACATAGTATCTTGAGGGAACAACATATTTTTTTTCTTTCATGGCCGTATTCCTCCACCGTAGGTTTGGTACAACTTGTTTTGTGTAATTTTTTTTTATCGGTTTTGTTATTGTTGACTGATGCTTAAAGTTATATGAAAAGACTTAAAAGTGCTTAAAATGTCAAGGCAATTATTGAACTAACGCATCAGTAAAAATACTAAAGTAAGTCCTGTGTAGGTTTTCTTTAATTTTTTCTATCAGGAATCAATGCATAATGTACAATCGACGAAAAATATTTCATTCGTTGATTGTTGCCCGTAAATTTATGCTGCTTATTAACTTCTGAGTAGTTTTGTTAAGGAACGACTTTACTATTTTTTCTGTCTATGAAGAAATAACATAAAAAATTTGGTGCACACTGAATAACCCGCGTAGCGTGTTATTTTAAAGTGTGCACCAGATTTTTTATGTTATTTCGAATAGGCAGAAAAAATATTACAGTCATTCCTTGTACATGTTGTAATTTAATTCGAAATTCCATTTAAAGCCGGAATAAATCATGAAAAAACGTTGATGACGTCACGGTCACATGGCAAAATTATGTCTATGAGCTGATAGTCAGCCAATCAGAAGACGCGTTACATCCAAAATTAAATTATTTATTGATGTTTACCGATAGTGACCTAGTAGGAACAGTGCATCAGTATTCCTTACAATATCTCGTTTTAATCGAAACCTCCGATAGACAATACAATTTTGTAGCGATAACAATTGAAAGTGTCTTGAGCCATTTGGTAAAAAAAAGAGTATCAGGATTTCCTGTTGTTAGATACCAACATTCGAAAATAAGTCCTAATTATAAATAGAGAGAGCACACGGAGATAAAGCCACGACTTAGACGTCAACAATAATTCATCGCGACTGTTAAATAGTGTTAAGGAATATGGACTCGCCTTTCCTTACACAACAACATTTTGAGTCCATCTGCAGATTAAAAAAAAACAAAACACGTAGCCAATTGTAATGAATTTCCTGGTTTCACATATAAACAACTGTACAATATTCTAGTGTTTAGTAGACATTATGCCAGTGAAACGGGAGCTCGACGGCAACTAAGGTCAGTTCCAAATAGAAGGACTGACATTAGGAAACTAGGGTACGGTAGGAAAGAACAACATTTTTACCTTACACACACTACCTTAGAGAGTTGTTGGAAGGGGTCTTTAAAGTACAGAGAGCATGTTCATACAAATATAATTACGTTACAGTTCAATATCTTCAGTTTTATTGATAAATAGTTTAAATTATATAGTAAAAAATATTTAATAATAAATATAATAGTTGCTAACAATAGTGCAAATGTTATGCATGTCTTATATGGTGGTTGATAGCTTATTGGTATGTCTTGAAAGAGAATTAAAAAATGAGAATCATTCTTTTTCAACTTATATTGACAAAAGGACAATATAATATAAAGTGTTAAACGTCATTTTTAACCACATTACAAGTTTAAAGTTAAAGACATAGCGTTTCAAAAAAGATTGCTTCCTTTCGAAATGTAAGAAAATTCAATACTTAATTATGAAAGTGACAAATTTTTAAATGATATGAAAACCATTTTCAATAAAGATGTATTATTAACAAAATGTTGGTTCCCATAATTGCACTGATCAATGTTTAAACGAAAATAAGCAGTATATAAAAGTATAGCAAATTAAAATAAAACTGTACCGATTATACACATATAATGGTCTACTTTTTCAATTTAAAAAGTGCGGATATCCCGGCAACTCCTCCTCCGAGAAATGGAACACAGGATGCCATAGCAGAAAGTCCATCCATACATTTTTTGGTACATGTTTTTTCTATCCAATCCAAGTACCATAAACCATTCTCATGTGCAAGAATGTTCAGATGATTGCTTCCCCTTGAGATTTGTATCATACATTCGCAATTGTTTTCCCCGGTGACTACCAAGTAAACTTTGGTATCACGAATGCACCACGACTTCTTTACTGCCTCTAAAATAGCCTGACTAGTTGTACCAGGAATTTTTGTTTGTCGGAGAACATCGAACAATCGTGTGGAAGAATATGGAGAAAACTTTCCCTGTCAATACAATTTGTAATATTTTAAGAAGATCTTTTACGTTAAGATAGTTTGTGTTCAGTTAAGAATAAAGCACAATATGTGATACGTCTATATGAGGGTCTGAATTGGGAGACCTTCATTTCAATATTCTGAATTTTTTGATGTGATTTTTCTCCATATTTTTTTTTTGCCTCTTATTATTAAATTTCTATATTTTAGCAACTTATTATTAGGTCTTTCCACTTTTCCGTTTTTCTGTTTCTGTTGTATTTGTTCTGATAATTTTTGTTCTTCTTCCGCCAAATTTCAAAACCTGTTTTGTGTTTTCGCAAGATGTCGCTTAGATTTTTGAATATATGATATCGAACAGTTATTGCGCTTTTGAGACTGACCCTGTTTAGTCGAAGACTTTTTATTTTAAGAGTTATCTCCCCAAACACTGTTTTCTTTGATATGAAATCTCCTCCGTAACCGTAAAAGAAAGCGACAAATTTAATTTACCAAATTGCTCGCTATATCTTCAGAATTTTCTGTCCAATTTTGACGTAAGCGATACGATGACTCCATATGAGAGTTATTTCCCCTAATGCATTTGAAATAAGTGATATGCATTTGTAACTGGTAAACCATAAGTGATAGAGACCTATGGTCTATTGATTTGAGGTCCATGGTCCAAAGAATAGAAAACTAGGTCAAGGTCAAAGGTCAAGGTCAATTCTAAATTTTGGAGGCAAACTGGTTGATTTTCTTTTTTGATTACTAGTAACCAAATATCAACATTAATGTATAGGCTAAATATAAGTCATGTAAGTAGATCATAGTGATAAATATGCAAGATTAAAACAATCGAAATTTCTTTTAAAAAATCTGTTTTTCTCAAGTCTAAAGGTCAGTATAAGCTACTGTATGAAGGAATTTGTACATGCTGTCGTCCAAAATGAAAATGACGGAAAAAAAAAAGAAAAAAAACTAATGACTGAAACTATCTATTACCAAACTATCCAACTTCCTTAAGTTATTTTCATATTCTGTTTCCTGCTCGTGGAAGTCCCCTGTAAAAAGAGATGACATGTTAAAAGTTTTTACTGAAACTATATCATTCATAAAATGTATGAAAGGTTAAGAACCCCAAATAAAAACGAGGAGGCGTGGAATTGTCAATGAGACACCTATCTACAAAAGTATTCCAAAAAACGTTAGCAACTATAGATCACCGAACGGCCTTCAACAATTAGCGAAACACATACTTAATACTACGCTATAAAGAAAGCCCCCACATGACAAAATGTAAAACATTCAAATGATAAAACAAACGGTCAACAAACACTACAGACATTTACTTACTTTTATATTTTTCAAATGTAACGTGAGACTACTAGTTTGCATCTGTAATGTAGACCGAAGGAAGAACCAGCGATAATATAACATTAAGTATATACGCATTATGTATTATACATTTTGTAACGATATTCAATACAAAATATGGATTGCATGCGCAGGTACTATTCGAATTCCACACCAAAAAAAGTATTCACTGAACTTACAATTATACCAGCTATATTAATAAATTCATTATCCGTTTAACACTCAATTTTTAAAAGTAGATACAATCTGGGACTATTCGTCAATATATTATGTCCCAGATAAAATCAAACATAATGAATAAATATATCGCTGAAAATTATTTATTATGATCTGACGACATGTATTAACACATTAAGGATGTTTGCTTCTCTTGGTTTTGATTTTTTTCAGTTATTCGGAATCCTCTGGTTTTATCCATGGAGTGCCATTAAAAAAATTTGCACACTAACTTCTACTTTTCTTTTCATGATATTATTACATATTGTTTAAATAGCCATACTTAAAAATCTTAAAAAATACTGTCATTTTTTCATAGTTTTTGAAAGAAAAAAGTTGTCAATGTTAAATGTATGAAAAATCTAGAGAGAATCATTTCCCGCCAAATTTTCAATGCTTCTATCTCGGACATGTCAACTTTGGAGAACTCTGAATGGATGTATGAGAATATAACTCAAATGTCCCAGGCAAGATGGAGGGCAGATCGCTAATAAACATAATTAACCCCATCACACTCTTCATATTCTTGTTCTAAGTCAGGAGTCTGTAAATCAGTGGGTTTTTTTGGTTGCTGTCCATTATATTTATTTTTCATTCAATGATTTGTCTTAAATCTGGCCGTCATTTTTTGTATTAAATTGTTTCAATTTTTTTCATACCGGATTAGACTATTTACCGGATTTGTAATAACATAAGCAACACGACAGGTGCCACATGTGGAACAGGATCTGCATACCCTTCCAGTGCACATGAGATCATCTCCAGTTTTTAGTGGGGTTCGTGTTGCTTAGTCTTTAGTTTTCTGTGTTGTGTCATTTGTCCTATTGTTTGTCTGTTTGTCTTTTTATTTTTGGCCATTGCGTTGTCAGTTTGTTTTCGATCTGTGAGTTTTACTGTCCCTCTGGTATCTTTCGTCCCTCTTTTGTGCTGAAATGAAATATCATTTTGATATGTTACTGTTGATAAACTATTGACTTTCCGATTTTTATTTGTCTTCCAAAACTGTTTTCATTTATGCGCCGTTGATTAGTCAAATGTACACAAAACGCACGTCCTGCGTACCAAATTATAAACCTAGTTTATCATCAAATTGGGGATCAGAAAATTTATTAGGAAACAAATTTTCGTCAATTTGGGAATCAGAATATTTTTATTTGGAAAAAACCATAACCCCCTTGATGTTAAATGGTCGTTCCCTAATATGTTTATAAAAGATACTCACTTTTCTTTTTCCCAAACCCAACGTTATGCTTTCTGTGAACCAAATGCTGTAAAATAAATGTAAAATGTGTTATACTGCGAGATGGGTCTAGATGGTCTAGATGTTCTGGATTCTGTATTCTTTAATTATTTTAACCATTTTTTTTATTTTGTTTTGAATGGGTTTATGGACCTTCACATCGTTTTCATGATTGTTTTTCATGCTATTTGTTTTTAATGCATGATTTGGAATTTAAGCTACCAACAATTAATCAATCTACTTTTGGGTGTATTTTTTTCGGTGACAGTATTTACTTTATCTTAATCGTAAATATATATATTATCATGTTTCCATTTCAGACTTTCACGTTTGGTGTAAGTAGAATGTTAAGAGAGCTTATTTGTACCGATGGTTTATTAATTTAACAGTTTCTTGGATTACTTTGCACTTCTCATGCAAATTGGAACCACACTTTTTTTAACGGCAGAATCCTCAATTTGGCAATAATGTACCTCTGGGGATAAGTAAAACTTTACAAAAATCTTTTGATGTAGCTAGCACAAAGTTACCGTATCATCCGAATATTCCTCTATATAGGGAGTTTTTCTCCTAGGTATATCCCAGTCAACTGTATCGCTGCTTTCAATAGCAGGTAATCTTGAGTTATATATGCCACGAATGGGACTACGGGAATATTGTGATGTTTCTCTGCCGTAAGTCGGGTCCATATAAACATGTTGATGTGGATGTGGTACGAACCCAACGTTGGACTGACCATACCGTAAGGTGTTTGACTGACCATATGGTGTTTGATTGACCATATGGTGTTTGACTGACCATATGGTGTTGTACTGACCATATGGTATTGGATTGACCATACTATTTGGATTTTGTTGCATAAGGTTATCACCAATCATCTTCAATTATAAATTATTTAAGTTGTCAAAGTACACATGGTTAACAAAATTAATTTCATCATAATTTATCTACAAGTAGTAAAGAGAGACATGTCAACTCTAGTTTTTCCTTCATGCATAGCTCTGATTTTTTGTCCTGGATAGGCGATACTTTTGATCCGTATTCGGTTTATCAGGTCTTCGACAATAACTAGTACATTTGTATATTTGTAATTTCATTAGTTTAAACTGACAGTGCATTAGAATGAAATTGATTTATCCTGAGTGGTACCATCACATGCAGCATTGAGGTCGTTAGGTTTTCCCGCTTCAAAATTATTTTTGCGGTGTTTTATTTATTATTTAGTCATTCAGCACGACAGCGTCATTCAGAACATTGGACATTTTCTTTGACAAATGTTACCTCTGGTAGCAGATATGGTTAATCAAAATCGTATTGACCGTTATGGTTGCCTTTAAATATATTTTATATACATTGTGTTCAACAAACAATAAATTATCATGTGCGCTTTTATAAAAAGACCGACCAGGACATTCTATTTTTACAATTTTTCATTGAAATTTTCAGTTCCAACTTTGACATTGTTCATTGTTCATCTCCAACTTGACATGATGCCCTTTCAAGCTGACATTTCTCATTTAAAAGTTCAAAATGACACGAGATTGCTGTTAGCTAATCAAAATAACGTATAATAATGACACATACATGTATGTAATTATTTAGATATAGCATTATTGTAAATGTGTTTCATGAGGTTATTCACTTCATGTATAATAAGTATGATGAACGATATTATATTAAAAACAGATGCCTCGTATGTATTGCATTGATGCATATAATTTTGATTTCAGTTAATCGAGATGCCGTTAATTTAAGCTGTATCTGAAACATAAATACATGTGTTATTGTCAACTGATAGTGCTATATATTGTTAATCTGTATGATTAATGCACTGTGGAATTTTATGATAAAAAAGAAAAGAAACGAATGATTAAAACATGCTTATTCCTACCAACAAATTGAGTTGTATTATCTTTTTTATTTTAAAAGGATGGACGGCATGAGTCCCAACTCTCGCTGCAAACCTAAGCCTACAATTCTTATATTATTAATCAACAACTATTGCATGAACAATGTAAAATTGGGGATTTCTAGAATTTATTTTTAGTAGCATGCTGTGTGCCCTGTGCATTAAGCAGTTTTTGATCCACGAAAAGCTAAACACAACAACAACAGTATTGTCTTGTAAACTGAGTAAAAACAAATGTACATGTGATCAAGTTTTAACAAATCACAAATCCTTAAAAACAATCGAGTAATAATATTAATAAATAATTGTGTGAATTTTTGACTCATCATTAAACAATTTGGAGTATATACTTGAAATTTTATGTGAAAAGGACCAGCCGTTGGTTTTCTCGTTTGAATTGTTTTACATTTGTCATTTCGGGGCCTTTTATAGCTGACTATGCGATATGGGCTTTCCTCATTGTTGAAGGCTGTATGGTGACCTATAGTTGTTAATTTTGATCTCTTGTGCAGAGCTGTCTCATTGGCAATCATACCACATCTTCTTTTTGATATGGAATCAATAAACTATTAATAAAAAGAGTAGAGAAATTTGGATTTCTTTTGTATGTTTGTCAAAATACAATTCCTTTTTGTTAAATTGTTGGTTTCGATTGCCGTAACAATATATTCACTGTACATCAGGTAATTAAACACTAGTCTATCCCATGTGTGACCATTTGCTACATGTATACAGAAGATTTTGAAAAAAATAAGTGTTTTCTAAAATGCAGGTGATTTTAATTACAAAGTTACCGTATCATCCGAGTTATATACGTCAAAACTGGGACTACGGAAATATTGTGATGTTTCTCTGCCGTAAGTAGGGTCCATATTAACATGTTGATGTGGATGTGGTACGAACCCAACGTTGGACTGCCCATACCGGGAGGTGTTTGACTGACCATATGGTGTTTGCCTGACCATGCCATTTGGATTTTGTTGCATAAAGTTACCACCAATCATCTACAATTATAAATTATTTAAGTTGTCAAAGTACATATAGTAAATAAAATTGATTTCATCATAATTTATCTACAAGTAGTAAAGAGATACATGTCAACTGCAGTTTCTCCTTCATGCATAGCTCTGATTCTTTGTCCTGTATAGGCGATACTTTTGATTCGTATTCGACAATAACTAGTACATTTGTATATTTGTAATTTCATTATTTTAAACGGGCAGTGCATTAGAATGAAATTGGTTTATCCTGAGTGGTACCATCACATGCAGCGTTGAGGGCTTTAGGTTTTCCCGCTTCAAAATTATTTTTGCGGTCTTTTATTTACCAAGTAGTCATTCAGCACGAAGAATCTGAACAGTGGACATTTCTTGCAAAATGTTACCTCTGGCTATAGGTTATTCAGCTTTATATGTGTAGAGTTTTTGTTAGTTGATACAGCTGTTTTAATTATATATCGTATATGTAGACGTATGTTTGAATACGGTTTACTTTATATTTAAGATAGAAGCAACGTTGTCGTGCGACCACCCATGTGTTTCATGACGTTATATGATGATTTTTTCATCAATGAAGACACAGAAATGTGCATCTAGTGCAGTAAACTTTGTTTTGTTCATTTATTAAAGCTCAAAATTTAATATTGACACATCGAGATGTCAATTCTAAACTTTATTTAGGGACTACAAGTACACCAATTGTAGTTTTTTTCTTTTTGGTCTTAACTTCTAATTTGAAGGTAGCATATGTGGTAAATCAATACTTGTATTGTCCATTAGGGTAGCCTTTAAATATATTTTATGTACATTGTGTTCAACAAATAACACATTATCATATGCGCTTTTATAATAAAGACCTTCCAAGACATTCTGTTGTTACAATTTTTCATTCTAATTTGAAATTCTCAGTTCCAAGTTGACATTATTCACTTCCTTGTTGACATTGCTCATTTCAAAGTCCAACATAAGACGAGATTTCAGTTAACTAATCAAAATAATGTATAATAATGAAACATACATGTAATGTAATTATTTAGATGTAACATTATAGTAAATGTATTTCTTTAGGATATTCAGTTAATGTATAAGAAGTATGATGAACGTTATTATATTAAAAACTGTGCTTCGTGTGTATTTCATTGTTACACATAATTTTGATTTCAGTTAATTGAGATGCCTTTAATTCAAGCTGTATCTGAAACATGTGTTATTGTCAACTGATAGTGCTATATATTATTGTTATTCTGTATGATTTATGCACTGTGAAATTTTATAATGAAAAAGAAAAGGAACGAATAATTAAAATATCCTTATTCGTACCAACAAATTGAGTTGTCTTATTTTATTTCATTTTGAAAGGTCGGACGGGCCGATTCCTAACTCTCGCTGCCAAGCCACACGAAAACAACGATATGTAGTCACCAGATATCCAGACATATTTCTATCTACAAGAACCGTCGTAGATCATGACAAACGAGAAGAGAAAATGACCATCATGTTCATCAATATAGAATTCCTCAAGTGCAATTATAGTCCAATCATAACAAGTGGCCCCCAAGAGAGGTATTCAAGAGCTACGACGATTATTCCCGTCACCACACAACTATCCTGATCAATTTTACTTTTTGTTTCAAGTACCTTTCGAGATCACCTGGTTTTGTCGGAAGGATACATGCCTTGAAAATTTGAAAGCCGACATTTTATTGGCTGATGTAGTAATCACAAGAACAGAAAGTAGAAAGGAGCGTTGTCAGATCCTTGTAAGCAAAGCATGAACAGGATCTGTATTTCAATCTGATTGTTTATGTTGCCTTGTCAGAACGACATTGCAATACATTTTTTACTATGATATACAGGCAACGTGAGATGCTGTTACTAACATTATTAATCATAAATTGATTATTGCATAATTTACTTTAATAAAACCAGTTTTGGTTTCGTTTTCGATTTGTTTGTGTGTTTTATTATGATGGGTGTTTTTTGGTCATTTATGTTGGAAAAGGGGGGGGGGGGGGGGGGGGTAAATCGTGATGAAGTAACTGATTTAATTAAATGTGATTTCACTAAATGTTAATGTTCCTTCTCACAAAGTATTAATCTTCTCACTCCTACTTTTCTTTTAAATACATCCGATTGCTAAGTAACAATTTGGTTAGTGGATAGTTGTGTACATCATTATATATGTATTTTTCAGATGACAGTTATGATATTAGGAACAAAGATATCGAAAACCTGATAATCATTATCAAATACTTACTCCACTACTCTGATAATTATTCCGAGACTCTGCCGTTAATTCAAGCTTTATACATTTTGTCAGTTAAAAAATATTTACATTTAAGGAAAAATTAAAAAACCCAATACACGAAATATATGGGCATTCGACCAAAACATATATAAGTCACAAAATTATAAAAAGGTTGATATTTAATAATTTCTTAAGTCAACAATCAGGACGAGACATTTGAATAGCATTTAAATCAAATACAAAATCATTTATGTCATGACACGTAACCTAAACATAACGTAGCACAATACAAAAGCAACTAGATTTTATCAAAATTTCAATTTTAGCTGTTACTTCTTAATATAACGAAACCACAGAAGAAAAATAAGTTTCCATATCTTGCACTGTTAATGAGTTTTGATGATAATTAGTTTTGTAAACAAATGCACGTGTCTGCCTGATACAAATAAGAACATGTGGGCAGTACTCTGTGGTTAATCAATAGAATCATTTGATAACGTTATGACCACTGACCAGCTATAAAAATAGAAAAGAAGTTGAATAAGGGGTTTACAGAAAAAAGAAGATAATGATATCCTAATAAAAATACTACCAGGGCTACCAGAAAAAAAAAATAGAGAATCAAATATAAATGTACAGATAACCTTTTTCTAAATTATTAACATCGATTATTTCAGCAATCAAAGCCGGGCTTCAAAGTTATTGTGAAACTGCCTATTCTAGAGGTGGCGTGAATCAGATGAATATGTGGATACTAAAAAAATCCACAATCTATTAGAGTACATACAATCTAATTTAAGACTCTTTCATCTTGCAATAGTATTAAAACATTTGTCTTTTCTACACTTTACACACGTATTCCCCATTCCAAACTGAAAGACAAATTGAAAGAGTTGGTCCTACTTTGTTTCATAAAAAAGAATGTCCAACGTAGATACAAGTATCCTGTCTAAGAGAGGGATAAATCTTTTTGATTCTGATGCAAACAAAAAATTCTCTGAAACTGACATTATCAAGATGCTTGATTTCTTGATTGACACCATATTTGTTACGTTTAGAGGACGTGTTTTTTCAGCAAACTATCGGCATTTCCATGGAAACCAACTGTGCCCCTATTCTTGCCAACTTGTTCCCTTCTTCGTATGAGGCTGACTTCATACAGGAACTTCTTCAGAAGAAAGAAAACAAGTTAGCAGTATCCTTTAACTTTACTTTCCGCTATATAGATGATGTTCTCTCACTAAGTAATTCAAAATTTGGTCACTATGTGGAACGCATCAATCCCATCGAACTAGAGATAAAGGATACAACAGATACAGTTAAGTCTGCCTCATATCTTGACATACATCTAGAAATTGACCTTAAGAGTCGGTTGAAAACAAAACTTTACGACAAAAGAGATGATTTCAGCTTCTGAATTGTGATCTTTCCATTTCTATGTAGCAACATTCCAGAAGCGCCTCCATACGGAGTATTTATCTCCCAAATGATACGATATACCCGGGCTTGTATTTCCTATCATGATTTCCTTGATATAAGGGTTGCTGCTCACAAGGAAGCTATCAAACCAAGAGTTCCAAATGGTGAAGTTGAAATCATCTCTTCGTTAATTTTACGGACGCCATCACGAGTTGGTTGACCGTTTTGGAATATCCGTTTCACAGATGATAGCGGATATGTTCAGTATGTCGTAATTACAGTCTCGTTCCCTTTTCACAGATGTGACCTACTGATGAATTCGATTTATTACCGGGTTTGTACTAACATGAGCAACACGACGGGTGCCACCTGTGGCGCATAATCTTCTTATCCTTCTAGAGCACATGAGATCAACCCCAGTTTTAGGTGGGGTTCGTGTTGCTTAGTCTTTATTTTTCTATGTTGTGTTTTGTGTACAATTTTTTTGTCTGTTTGTCTTTTTCTTTTTTAGCCATGGCGATATCAGTTTATTTTCGATCTATGAGTTTGAACGTCCCTCTGGTATCGTTCGCTTCTCTTGTATTAAACAAATATAATTGTACAACAATTAATGTTGATGATGTTAATGGTGACGGTTATATCAGATTGTCTTAAGGAGAATATATAAACATCAATGCGTTTTAAAAGAAAACAAAAATAATATATTCTATTTTCAAACTACAAATATAAGAAAATTTTACTTTGTGTAAAACACTATATTTTCATTGTACACATTTATAATTCTAGAAATTCCCCATACGAATCCTCTACACTGACCATCTGAGGATTTTATTTACACATGCATAACTTACTTTTTGGGAAAATGTTAAACACAAAATGTATATTGTTTTATGTTCTAATTGAATTTAAAAATTCATATGAAAAAAGCAAATGCAATGTGTAATTAAACTTCTGAGATCATTAATGGTTGATGTTTATCCAGGTGGGCGGAGTTTGGACCATATCAGTAGCAACTGACTTATACCAAGGTCAATAATGAGATAGCTTTTCCCGCCAGATCTGGTTTTTGATGCATAGGGTGTGAATTTTCTTTATATATTTAGAATTGCTCAAATGGAATGCTTTCTTACTGGTCAAACCTAATTGATTTATGATAAGAGGTCAATCCTCATGTATCCCCATGGTACATTGGTGAATGATATTTAAGTAAATAAACTAATCATAGATACCAGGATTAAAATTTTGTATTTGCGCTAGGCATGCGTTTCGTCTACAAAAGACTCACCAGTGACGCTCGATTTAAAAAAGGTAAAAAGGATAAATAAAGTACGAATTTAAAGAGCATTGAGGACCAAAAATTCCTAACATGTTGCCAAATACAGCTAAGGTTAATCTATTTCTGAGGTAGGAATGAGGTTCAAATAGGAAAATCCTTATTTATTCAATTGTGACACATACAATTTTTGTCATGAAAATGTAGTTTTCATTTAACATGTTGAAATTAGCTCCTAGACGGGTGCCCCTATATGCCTGATTTTACCACATCTTGTTCCGTGGCCAGTTATCTTCAAAACCAAGTCTCAGATTTCCGAAAACATCAATGAAACAAATTTTATACCCAATTAAATTGAATGATTTCTTATGAAGTAAGGTTGTAAACTGAATTGATGGATTATAAGAGAATGAAATACAATAGGAACAATCTGGGACACGGTTTTGGATGTCAAATTGTGTTGTACAAAAAATGTTGGGATGCTATGAATAACAAAGAAGCTTATTTCATTCAAATGTGGACAGCCGCATCTAACAACTAATTACATAATAATCAATTATGTTAAAATTATGTAATAATGAAATTATCACTATTTGAAAGATTAATCTTTCTCCTTTCTTTTGGTTCCTCATTTATGAATTTTAAAGCTGGATGAAAGAAAATACATCAGTTTAAAGTTGTCTGATTGGGTGTGACAAATCTTTGTACTGTGCTACTTTAAGGAAGTTTGCTACTCTTATTATTGACTTTTTGTCAGATTTTCAGAATCCTCTAGATTTGGTGAATAAGAAATTTGGCTGCTTACCCTGTTTTATCTTTTTATAATTTTATTATATACAGTTTAACATGCTACAAAATCATGACTGTTATGTATGAGACGCGAAATTTACCAGACAGTGAATAACAGAACATTCAGTATAATAAAATAAATAACACATAGCTTAAGGGGGGGAGGGGGGGGAAACATTGTCAACCTTGGCTCGCAGTAACAATCTGCTCTTTCACCCTTCCAACTATGTGTTATTCATATATTATATCAGTTATCATGTTTCTAAATGTTATTGACGAAAAAATAGAATGTTTTTTTTTTTAAGTCGAAAATATCTTTGTCTAGTGATATAAAACTATGGAACATTTAAACCGAAGTATGTGAAAATCCGGGATGTGTAAATACTCGACGATCTATTTAACAAAAAAGGGATTAAAACGAATAGCCAGAAACTTTAACTGTCAAATAAGGTCAGCTAACTCTAGCTAAGTCTGACGAAGTTTGGACCTAAATTTCTTAATAATTTTACATCTCATCATCGAAAGTGTTTGATGTTCTCCTGAAATTACAGAATTTCAATCAATTTATCGTGTCTATTTCCGTTATCCATTTATACTGCATGTATACCTTACAACAAAATTATTTTCTTTTACCTGTGTATATTATTCTATTTTGCGGCAAGGTTATTTGTTCAAGGTTACGGTTTACTTTCTGAAATTATTTAACATCTCTCAGCTGTATACTACTATATTCACAGTACAAAGAGAGAGTAGAAGAGAAAGAGAGTAGGAGATGGATAGTGTAGGAGAGAGAGTGACAGTGAGGGGGCGAGAGTGAGTTAGAGTAGGGAAGAGAGTAGCAGAGACAGTAGGATATAGAGAGGGAGAGAGAGAAGGTAAGATAGCGTGAGAGAGCGAGAGTGAGTTGCAGTAGGAGCGAGAGTAGGGGAGTGAGAGTTAGAGACAGAGAGCGACAGTTGGATAGTAGGAGTGGGGAAAGAGTGCAAGAGTTGGAGACAGAGCAAACGTAGGATAGCGTACGAAAGAGCGAGAGTAGGAGAGAGAGTACGAGAGGGGGTTTAGCAGAGTGAAATTATGATAGTGGGTAAAATAGGGGAGAGGAAGAGTGGGACAGAGAGTGTGGGGATGAGAGTTGGAAAGCGAACGAGTGCAATTTGGAGACGGAGTGAGATAATGAGAATGGAAAAGTAAGATAATGTGAGTTGGAGAATTAGGTGGCAGTGGGATAAGGAGAGTGGGATTGGGAGATTGTACAGTATGAGAAAGATTACGGGATAGAGACAGTACAATGGGAGATAGGTAGGAGGAAAGATGAAGTATGGGATAGTTTGAGACGGAGAGACTGAGAGAGATAGAGAACGGGAGAAGGAGGATACAAGCTAGAGATAGTACATTTCTAAATTAAGTCAGTACACATTTAAGAATTGTTTGTTCTCTAGAATGTTTTAAATCCCGACTGTCTTGTTTTGGTTTGTTTCGCAGCACGAACGTCCTTTGTTTGCCTATTAGAATCGACGTACTTATGAATTAGAATTCATGTCATGCTTTTTGATGATTAAAAAAGGGTACATAGGTATTATATTGAAAATATCAACACATTTGCGTTTAAAAGATACATTTGTGATTGGGAATCAGAAATAATATCACAAGTCGTCTAACCAAA